CCGAATTTGCGATATCGGCCGATCTTCGAGCCCGTTACTTGATTGACATACAGGAAAACCAGTAAGATGACAACTGAATCACCGCTCATGCGCAAACAACGGCGCTAAGCTAGTCAGTTTTGATTTTAAGGCAGGGGTGCCCAACACGTCAATCACGATCGACCGGGAGCCAGCGGACTGGTCCCAAGTCAACCGCGAGGGTTGGGAGGAGGAAATGGGGACAAGGACCCAGAAGTGGACAAGGACAAAGAGACTAAATAATCCTATATCATTTACACTCACATTGGTGCTAATTTTGATAAGTACATCTACATTTTACTGTGATATAATTGATCTTTTGTATGAAACAACACCTTGAAGGGACAAATAAACAGAACGTTTTGTTTCTCGTAGAATTGGTGTGTTAGTGCCCTACCCTAACAGATTCTCTCGAATGATTGTACAGTAGATCGATGAGAACACTTTAAGTTGTGTGCATCGATCGATCGATCGATCGATCGGTCAATCGATCGATCGATAGGTCGATAATAATTGACAAGATCGATATGCCACACTGGGCAGTAATGCAGTCTTGCTGTTGAAGTTTATAATATACCGCACACTCGCCTGCCTGTCTAAAATCCATGTACACTTCTCCAGTGGCGGTTCTAGATCAATTTCACTGAGGGGCCTGGCTTGGGGCCAGGGGTTTTGATAGAGGGGCACATTCAACCCAGGGCAAAAAAGACAAAGATTCGAAATCTTATTTGACTTTTTATTTTCATTAAACTTTGAAACCTTTGCAGACATAACATTACAGTGACAATGAAAAACAGTATAGTAATCAGTCATAGTGAATTAAGTGCTGATAAAAGGTTCATATAGGTGCAGATGTTGTGGAACTGTCTTAAGCTGCCCCTACCTACCATTTCTAGCAAACTGTCCGACGTGATTCAAGATTCAGTGCTTTTGACCTCCTAGACTCGATGCAAAGTAGACCAAAATTGCTTAATCTATCATCATTCATAGTGGACATGAGGTGTGTTTTCCCAAGATTTAATGTGGAAAAACTGTTCTGCATTGGCGGGTCTTCTTTACATTTGCTGATGTCTGTGGAGAAAAACAAACCGAATAGATGTAAACATAATTTTGGCATGGACACAGCATACACACTAACCTGCTACACTTACACTGTTTCGGCGCTCAGACACACATAATTGTCTAAAATGTATTCATGAATGCTATTTATTAATTCTATTAATTAATTTATTTACTCATTTATTGTATTCAGTAAGGCGGCCCGGTAGTCCAGTGGTTAGCACGTCAACTTCACAGTGCAGAGGTTCAATTCCAGCTCCGGCCTCCCTGTGTGGAGTTTGCATGTTCTCCCCGGGCCTGTGTGGGTTTTCTCCGGGTACTCCGGTTTCCTCCCACATTCCAAAAACATGCATGGCAGGCTGATTGAACACTCTAAATTGTCCCTGGGTGTGAGTGTGAGCGCGGATGGTTGTTCTTCTCTATGTGCCCTTCGATTGGCAGTCATCCGGTTCAGGGTGTCCCCCGCCTCCTGCCCGAAGACAGCTGGGATAGGCTCCAGCACCCACCGCAACCCTAGTGAGGATGAAGCGGTTCGGAAAATGAATGAATGAATGAATGAATGTATTCAGTAAATATAATTCATTCTAAAGCCTGACCAGGGACTAAAATTTCAAACACACTGAAGCTCGATGTTTTGCATACATCTAATTGTCCCAATTTTAAAAGGCAATGTCTTATATATTGTTCCTGTCAAATAAACATTAAAAAATAAGGGATATTAAAAAAAGCTACACACACACACACGCACGCACGCACGCACGCACGCACGCGCACACACACACACACACACACACACACACACACACACACACACACGCGCAGACAATCTCAGTCTCAGTTTCCTCATTCTCATGATCTTCATCTGTCTCTCTTTGCTGCTCTGTGTCCTCTCTGAAAAGAAGTGTCTCTCGTGTCCTCTGACTCTCCCTCTCTGGTGCTCTCAACTTGCTCCTCTTTAGCTCTCTCCCATCATCTGGCTCTGTCTCAGTGTCTGAATCATTTAGTTTCTTTTTCATGTAGAAATAGGATGGAAAGCCCTTTTTTCTCTTCATTTTTTACTTAAAATTTTTAACAGTGAAGAGGAATTACACTTCAGCAACCCTGCTGTTACGGGCTTGCTTGGTTTTGTGTTGTGGTCTTACCTTGACAAAATAATATCACTCATCGTCGTGGTAATCTTCGGACTGCTTTTCTGGGGGCTGCTTCTCCTCTACACGCTCGTCTTTTTTCAGTGATGCAGCGCACTAAAAGGTCCGACTACAATGTTAAGCCAGGCACTTTATTTCTACTTTTGGCATCGGCGACTGGGCGCTACTGTATAGTCTACGTTCGGGGGGGGGGTCCAGAATCTGTGCTACAGGGGCACTGCCCCTTTTGGCCCCTCCCCAAAACCGCCACTGCACTTCTCCATTGCTACAGATTGCAAAAGTCCACTAAAAACTTCCCGTCTTAATGGATCTAGATATTTACACTTAACGCATCATAATGGCAACAGTGTGCAACAAAATAAAAACCTTACAATGACGTTTTGGGGGATGGCCATGGCTCACAAAGGTAGAGCGGGTCGTCCTACAACCGAAAACTCGGCTGTTCGATTCCCAAACTGTCCGAAGCATGTGTCGTGGGGGGCCTCGGTAAGACACTTCACCCACCTTGCTTTCAGTGCCACTCAATATGGGTTTATGGCTGGGTGTGAATGTTTCAGTTGTGGCTATGTACGTACTTTACCACCACCAGAGTGCATGAATAACGCATCCATTGTTTGTGCTTTGAGTAGGTGACAGATAAATGGCATATGAATCTGATTTATTAGTAGTAGTATTATTTTTTTTTTAATTTAAACATCTGTAGATGAAACAAAATTTGAAGATGATAAGACAAACATGACTTGGGAGCGTTTGTTAAAATATGACCTTGAAAAAAAAAGGCCAAAAATGGCACCGAAATTCAAAAATAAAATAAAAATGGCCGACTTCCTGTTAAATTTATTCTGTGCAACTAACCCTTTTGTTTTTCAAACTGCACAATAAACTTGATAACTCAGTGCCAAGTTTCACATGTTTTCACGAATGTTAAGACTAATATATATATATATATATATATATA